TTTGAATTTGTCATTAAATTCAACTTAATAATTTTAAATTTTAAAATATATAAATTGCAAAATTTTTTATATACCTATAAGATTGAGAGAATTTCCTATAAATCCAATATACTGTATAATGATTATAAATTTTTTTTTATTATAAACAATGATAAAAATTTTTTATATGTTTACAAATTTTTTACTAATATATGTTTTTTTCTTTATGCTTTTAAATAAATAAATGCTAAGAAATTTTTCTGCTTAAAAATTCCCATTCGCTAATTGTTTTAAAAAAAAAACTATAATAAACCTATAATAGAAGAATCAAAAAAATTTTTTTTTTTTTTAAAAAAAAAAATATATATAGTAATGTTTTTAAAATTAAATGTTTTTTTTTTTTTTTAATATAAGCCTGTGTATAAATACAAAGAATAATTTGAAATAATTTTTTATAAGTGCAATTTTTTATGAATTCCTATTTATCATAAACCCATGGATGTGATTATAATAAATTTTGTTATACAAATGGAAATGATTGGTTTTTATAATGCATTGAGATAAATTTACTTAACATATGGTTTTTTTTTACCTGGTGAAAGTGATTATGAATTTGCGTGTACTAATGTCACTAGCACGGTAATGTCGTCTACTTTGCTGTTAAATTGAAAAAGAAAAAAAAAAAGGAAAATAGGTCAGAATTTGATAGAAAAAAAAAGGTATCTAAATTAATTATATTTATTAATTGTAAGCGAAATCTTTTCTATTCATCTCACTCGAAAAAAATAAGATTATAGAAAATATTTCTGTACAATGAACATTATAAATTGGCTGGCGGCGGAAGTCCTGAAGACGCCTCGGAAAGCTACAATGAATCAAAAAAAACTATAAATTTCTCAGCATTTTATACAAACCTACGCAATTTACCATAACATATACAAAACATTCATCATCTTCGTAAGTTTCAACTTCTTCTTTGAATAGTTATTTGTATTCGGAAGCAACAAAACAAAGAGAAAGGCGTTTTGATTTGCTGGGCAAATTGTAGCTTCCCAAGGCAACCTCTAGGGAATACTGATCGCTAATAAACCAGCAAACCTACAAAAAATAACCACAAAATGTGCGAGCCAACCACACCAACCAAAACAACCTATTATGACTGAATCTTACCCTCCAATTCTACTTTCTCCATTTTGTTTTGCGCTTTGTGAAAAAGGACTTATCCTCCTTGAATCTGTAGAAAATCGTCTCGCTGTATCTGTTAATCTTCTTGAAAGTCTTCTAACATGAGTTCGAAGCTTTTCAAGATCCATTTCACGAACCATACCATCATGACCCATGACATCACGAAGCTCTTTATTTACAATTTCAACAGCCTCATCAGCAAACACATTATCAAAAAATCCATCAGTAGCTAGAAGAATAACGTCACCATCTTGAAGCTGATGACTAGTCTGTTGAGCATCGCTTGGCTTGTCTTTAAAGTAGAGCTTTTGGTTAGGGTAAGATTCAGGTACGATAGTCAATTGAAATGGACAATTGAAGAAATGTTGTTGTGATGGAGATTCATATAGTAGTGCACCATTACGGATTAGAATGTATGCTGAGTCGCCTAAAGTAGCTGCATTAAGGATTCCTGAAGATTTGGATAGCGAAAGAATGCAGGCCGTTGAGCTTCCTAAAAAAAAAAGAAAGTTTGATTCAATCTAAAAATGTTTTTTAATTAAATTAAAGATATTCATAAGTAAATTAAATTAATAAGTACCTGCTTTGACTTTACCACTTTTTATCAGATTGTCGAACGCCCCGCTTAGTATCTGTTTAGCGTCTAATATGTCATTATAACCAGATGGGGCAATAAATGGCGACAGATCTGGTGCATTGTCTTTTGCTACACTTGCAGCATTATCCATTAATGCCCAGGAGAAATTGGCTGGATCCACACCCATCTTATATATTTATGATATTGTTTATATAAAATTAATAATAATTAATTAATCCAAGAATAAAAGAATAACAATAAATTATTAAAAAATAATATTATTAAAAAAAAAATACATATATATCTCTAAGTATACCTGAGACCATCCACCAACACCGTCAGCTACTCCTAAGGCTACACCGTTATTTGTCCCAACATAGAAAAAAGCATCCTCTCCTGCATCTACTTTACCTATTCTCATACGTTCTTTCCACCATGCGTGACCACTGCCAGATATAGAATTTACAGCAGTTCGTTTTCTTTTAGGATGCCAAGAAGCTGCTATCAAATAAGTGAAGCCTTTCGTAGTAGTTAAAGGTAAACCAGTGACTCGTAAAGGATTGTTATATACAGCTTTGATATAAATTTGTTGGTTAATAGCAAGACGAAGGGATTGAGAGGCACTGGAAAGGAGCCGGTTGGAAAGTGCGGGGAAAACCCCTGGACGATAAAAAGGTGATATAGAAGACGACATTGAGAGAATAAAAAATGTGTACAGTAAAAATTATTATTTGGAGAATTTTTTTTTTTTTTTTTTTTTTTTTTTGCAGATTTTGTAAGAGGAAGTTCTCACTGTGAAGGACCTCGAGGTAAAAAAAAAAAAAAATAAATAAATAAATATGAAAAATTGATATTAGATAATCTTATCTTTTTTTTTTTTAATTTTAATAGTTTTTTAGATCGAGAAAAACAAAAGAGAAGATAAATATTCTTTGAGGCGTTTTAGCCTCAGGCATTTAATGTTTCTTTTTGTTTTGACTGGAGATGAAAAGATGTAATTAATAATAACGAGATAGATATTGGTTTGCAGCTCACATGTATTTGATGACACGGCGTAAATATAAACGGTCTATATACAGACCCAAATAATCATGATTTGCATCTTTATTGCAAATAAAGTTGTAAGTTATTTTAAGAACTAATTGTAATACCATTATTATTTTTAAACTACCAGAATTTATCATCTTATATTATTCTCTATCTCGTGCTAAAATAATCTAATTTTCACCCTTGACAATAAAAGATTAATCTTTAGTTTTCTAACTTGTGATGTCGACTACAAACAACAGACAAAATAGTCAGGCCCCTGGCAAATTGTTCCAATTCAAGCTTGTTCTATTAGGTATGACAATTCTAACTGCGATCGTACAGACCATTTTTCAAAATTTTACGAACTATGATGTACTACTTTACAAAGCTCTTCTGTATCGTTTGTTTTGACCTTTTTTTTTTCATTTTATCATGTGCTCCACGTTTCTCTAGGCGAATCGGCGGTCGGCAAATCAAGGTTGGTTTTGCTATATGTTATAGGTATATTAAGGAGTGTATTATGTTGAAGGGGCTTCAACACGATGGAAGATATTTCATTTTTCTTTTTATAACCAGTTTTACCAATTACAATAGAAATTATACTGGATAGTTACTTGTTTATATTCATTTATGTTGGAGATTTGAACGATATGTGCACCTCAAATATAATCGAATAATATACAAGTTTATCAAATCTCTTTTTTTTTCGTTTAAATTTAGCTTGGTATTGCGTTTTGTTAAAGACCAATTCGATGACTACAGGGAAAGTACCATTGGAGGTAAGTTTTATTCCGAGTGACCTCTTTTTTTTTCTTTGAAATATAAATATTGATTTTTGTATTTGTTTTTTGTACCAAAAGCTGCGTTTCTTACGCAGACAATTAATCTAGATGAATCCACAACTGTAAAGTTTGAAATCTGGTAATCTAATATATTAGTATCTTATGGTTTCATAAGATTTCTACAATATTAACATATATATATGTATTGAACTACTTTTTAGGGATACGGCAGGTCAGGAACGTTATAAGGTGATATTTTGTAAAAATGAGATTTTTTCTACGTATATATTTATTAAGTATAGACAATTTAACTAGGCATATTTTTATAATACGTGTTATAGAGTTTGGCACCAATGTATTACAGAAATGCAAATTGTGCAGTAGTTGTATATGATATAACTCAAGCTGTAAGTAGTGTTTACGATTATATTATTTACATTATATTCATACTGGTCAATCAATTATTAATCCATCTTATATATTATTTATTGTTTAGTCGTCTCTGGATAAAGCTAAAACGTGGGTAAAAGAATTGCAAAGACAAGCTGATCCGAATATCGTAATTGCACTTGCTGGAAATAAAAGCGATCTGAGTGCTCGTAGAGCAATCGATTCTGAGGTAGTCTAAATACTATTTTAATTTTATGATATATATTTTTACTTTTACTTTCTACTTTATTAATATAACTTTTTACCTTTTAAAAGGAGGCTCGGACCTATGCTTCAGATACTGGTCTTTTATTTTTTGAGACATCCGCAAAGACAGCATCTAATGTCAATGAATTATTTACATCAATAGGTATGATTGATCCAAATTCTTTAGAAATTATAAAATTTATCTCAATTTTTTATTTCCGTTTTCTTTAAAGCGAGACAAATGCCACTTGAGCAATTAGCTGCTAATTCACGTGGACGAACAAGCGGCTTGAAGCAAAGAGGAGTTGATTTGACGAACCCAACACCAGCTAGTAATTGCTCATGTTAATGAACACTTTGGAATTTTGCATCAAGCAACGGATATGATTGTAGTAGAAACTTTGGGCTTTGATCATTCTTTTCTTTGTTGACTTTTTTTTCTCCTATAATTTCAACTAACAACTTATAATAAGTTTCATTTAAGTTGTCAAATTTTTGATTGACAACTTATTCCTTTCTCTTGTATGTTATATTACCTTTTATTTTATTTTTATTTTATTTTATTTTTTTTTTTTTACTTTTATTATTGGATATAATTTACTCGAACATATGTCCCCTAAAATATTATATATATCTCTCTTCCTTGACATATTATTCAATCAAAAACATTTGGTCGGTGTAATAACTGAGACAATCTTTTTCGAAAATTATAAATATTTCTTTTTTACTCTGCGGAAGTCTCATTATTACTACTCTATATTACAGTAAATATAAATCCACAAAGTAATATTTTCATATTCGTCTTTTGTTAATTAGTACCCATATTTATCATTCAAAGCTGTTCTGCCATCACCTTGAGAAATTGTAGAAATGTAAAATGAAATAATAATAATAATTCCTATTAAATGAAATCAAATGATGTTAAAATATTATCATTTTATTATTTTATATTTACCTGTTTGTCCTTTAGGTGGTTCCCATACAGTAGCTTCTTCAACTTCTATATCATTTAATTCTTTGACATTTTCATGTTTTTCTTCATATTCTTGAGGTGTCAT